GGGGCCGCGTCACTTCCGGGCTGCCCGCGGGGCCCGCGGCTCGGCCGCGCTGCGGGGCCGGCCCGCCGGGAGCTGCGGCTGCGGGGCCGCTCCCGTGACACCGGGGGCGCCGGTAACGGGACCCGGCCTTCTTCTTCCTGACTCTGGTCACAGCCTTCTCTCAGTCATCCACCTGCGCCGGCGGGGGCTCCTCCAGGGGCTGCAGGGGAATCTCTGCATCCCTGTGTGCCTCCCTGGGCTGCAGGGGAATCTCTGCATCCCTGTGTGCCTCCCTGGCTGCAGGGGAATCTCTGGATCCCTGTGTGCCTCCCTGGCTGCAGGGGAATCTCTGCATCCCTGTGTGCCTCCATGGGCTGCAGGGGAATCTCCACTCAGGCTGGAGCACCTCACCCCCCTCAGTCTTCACTGACCTTGGTGTCTGCAGAGGTGTTGCTCTCACATACTCTCACATTTCTCCGAGCACAATCGCATTTACACAATAACTTTTTTTCTTCTTTCTCTTACCAGGTAGGAGAGGCACTGGTACCATTTCTGATGGGCTCAGCCCTGGCCAGCGTCGGGTCAGTCCTGAAGCCGGCTGGAATTGGCTCCGTGGGACAAGGAGGAGACCTCTGGAAGCTTCCCACAGCTGCCCCCCAAAGCCCCCCACTACCAAAACCTGGCCATGCAAACCCAGTACCCCCATCTGTCTTACAAAAGTAATTAAAATGAAATTAGTAATACAGGCACTGCCTCTGAATTCCCATTACTAACAGAAGATCGATTAATAGGGTAATAATAGTAATAATATTAATTACTCTAATATTGCAAGTGGTTTTTTTCAAATCTTCTAGGTTTTGTATCCCTTTCAGGCGACTTAAAAATAGGGTATTACAGCACTAATCACGCTACATAAAGTTATCAAAGAAATACCAGAATAAAGGAGCTACCTATTGCTATGCAAGTTTTAGTCAACATAACTTAGGAAGGTATCATAACAGAGTTGTTCTCACGCTATGAAAAATACTTCTGTCACTGTCATCTCTGTATTGTGTGACCCTTAAGGAATCTGTTCTGGCTTTTCTTTTTCATATACCTATATCAGATAAATTATATAGATTTGTCCTTTCAAAATAGATTAATATGCAAGCATTAATACCTTGATTAGAGACTGGATTGCTTGGCTATCTGAATCAGAGCAAACTACACAGGAATTAGCGAGACTTTAGGTACAAAAAAAGATAAGTAAAAATTCTGAAAGTTTGGAGTAGTGCTTAAAGGCATGGAAATAAACACAGGCCTGGCAGTTCCATTGATACTTGCCCAGTGTGTGCTACAAATTTGACTTAGCTGATCTCAAACATGTAAGGAGAATAAATTAAATAGTGCAGTGCTTTGGCAAATCACATACAAAAGAAAATTGGAAAGAAGATCCAAATACTACAATCTACTCTTGTGCAGTTATGTGTATTGTAAGCAGTGTGTCTCTGAAATGTAAAGCTTAGACTTGGGAGGGAGGGTGCAGTCCTAAAGGAGGCACAGAGCAGTCTGCTCAGCCTAAGTGCCTTAGGAATTTGTGCGGGAAGACGGTGCCTCTAGAGACCTGCAGAGGGAGATGTGTGCCTCCAAAACGAGGGCTTTCCAGCTGTCCCTTTACTGTGTAAGAAATTTCATAGCAAGTTGTCTAGGGTTATAAAATAATTATGCACACAAAATTCCTAGAAAGAATAAGTCTTTCTTTTTAGTTCTGAGTGGCATACAGAGATACAAACTAAAGTGCTCTTGGTACCATTTTTAGAAGCAGTATTCTCATTCTACCTCTAATCCCTGAAAGACTCCAGCATATTTTGCTCATCTGAGCCAAGGGCAAGCAGAACGTATTTCCTTTAACCCTTCACCTGTTCTTTGCTAAAGTGCTGATATTTCAATTCTTTTCCTCAAAAAACACTTGGAGGGCGTTGAATTAGGATTTTTAAACAAGCTTTGGCCACTTACTGAGCTTACATTTTGATGTCTTAATATGTATTAATACATATGTGTGGGTCTCATTTGCAGATTCTGACTAGTTACCATCTGGCAGATACTTGAGTGTGTTCCTAAGTTAGTTATTTTTTGAGAAAGCTGAATATTCTTCCTGCATAAATATTCTCTCCCTGTCAAATAGTGAGTCCAAGTATCTTCTAAGTATGCAGTACTGAAGATTTGGAGGGGGAGTCTTTAGTTTAACAGAGAACACTTTGTATGCCAGTATATATTTATATTGAGGGTCAGGTGTCATGCTTTCCTTGCATAGGACTAATGAGATATGTGTTCAATTTTGTATATTCGGATCTTCCATTTAATGAGTTACAGTTTTCTTAGTTTTAAATTTTTATCATCCCCAGGAGTGATGCAATGGAGCAATGCTTACAACAAGCATTAGAAAGATGTCATTGATACAAATTACTTGGCAATATATGTTACTTTGGGCTCATTTTTATAATTTATTCCCCAAATGCAAATTACAGTTTTCTTCATGTAATTACTTTTTTTTTTTAATCAGAAACATTATAGTGCAACATTTCTTATTTTCATTACAGAAGACTCCCTTTATATAAGATACTTTATATAACAGTAAAATTTGTTGTTTTGGGTTGAGAATCAGCTCACAGATGAAGAAACATACATTTAGGTGTCTCGTGGGAGGGTCTTCCCAAACATCTGATCTGTCCTTCTGTTCAGGGGAGATGTCTGAAGATACTCGAGCTGGCTCCGCCTCTGGTTGCAGAAAGGGACAGGTTTCCTTCAGCCCCGTGTGAGATGTATTTCATTCCTCACTTCTGACACTGAACCGTGTGTTCTTGAGCAACTGAGTCAAGTTTCATTTGCCTTGTTGCCTGTGGCCGAAGCTTACTCCCCAAGCTCTTAGGCAGACACTTAAATTTAGGTCTTTGCTGTGCCCATGACATTCCTGCTGGCAGCCTGAGATGCCCAAAGTGCGGATACGAAGCTGTGAGCTCTGACAGGTGTAGAGACCCTGCCCAAGTGAACTGCAGGGCATTGAAATGTGTTCAGGTGATTAAATCTAGTCATAGGCCTATTGAACAGAGTAATGGAATAGCCATGCTTTTCTTTTGGCCAGCTTGCTTTCTGTATTAAAATAAAAAATTCTAAGATTTTGATTTTTAGCTCATTTGCTCCCTCTAGCCAGATTTGTTCATTTGCAAAAGCATCAGTCAAACAAAATATGAAGAAAATTTTGAAGAGCAGGCTTCAAACCTTTGTGAATGTATAAATGACCCACTGACAGACACTGACTTTTTACATAAATGGGTAAAGAAAAAATTCTTTTTCACTTACATGTTAATCTTCACTATTCATATATCCTTTTTGTGCAGATTAAAACAGTATTTTACTTAATGAAAAATAATCCATGAAAGTACTGGAAATAAAGAAGAGTACTAATATAGATTCAAAATTTACTGTATAAGGTGTCTTTTGCAAATTTACAGTAGACCAGAACATCAATTACGATGTGTTCAGCATATTAACAACCATATCTAGAAAAATATTCTTAAATTGTTTTGTGGCATTTCTGGTAAAACACTTTATAACAATATTTTAATAGGCAAGAAAAGTAACACACTCCCTGTTTATTTACAGTTCTTTTCCCACTTATTTATTTGATAAAATACAGTCGGTGAGTGTTGGGCAGCAAAGCACAGCCCATGCCAGCATTAACACTCCTTGGCAATCATGTTGCAATCAATGAGCCCTCACTGCAAGAGAGAAATATACATAAATCCTCAGATTCAAGTTTCTTATTTGAACATTAATAAAAAATGTTTTAATAATGCAGAAAAAAATACAGAAAAGGAACATGAGCTTATTGTTTAAGTAGAAGAGCTTGAATTTAATTTTCTTAAACAAAAAAGAAGAACAAACAAAAGCAGTTTGGTTCAATTTTGTGATTGTTCCTGTCCTTTTACTGTACATCAAAATTATCAGTAATGTATTACAAATTGAATTACAGAATGAGGTCCAAATTCAACAAAGCAACAACAGCTGTGTGGTACACTGGCTGTTCTCAGGGCCAGCTTTGAGGGAGGTTTTCACCATGAGTGTGATGGTAGACTGCTGGTCTGAGTGTCATAAACTGGTTACAGAGTATAGCTTTGCACTTCAAAACCTGGAGAAGGTATTTGAATTTTTTGTGAGGACTAGGCATTTAAACTATATTTAATAGAAATAAATCAACACAGAAAGTAGTTTTTTTTATAAATACTGTTTTTTCTTAGGCAGTTTAGCATTCTTGTATATAGTTTTAGGTAACTAACATCATAATTAATACAACATAAATGAGGTATGTTAGTAGATACCAGGAGAAGAATGCAAAAAAGTGCACTTTTCAATTTCTTGATTCATGAGGATTGACCACAAAATGCTCGAGCAATGTAGGATTAGACCCAAATATGCAGTCAGTGCCACTTTTCTGTGTTACTCAGGACAGGCAAAGCATGAAGGGATGAGCATGTTTTAATTCACAGCAAATTAAGGGAACCTGCTTCACTGTCAGTCTGTGATAGGGTCTGTTAGGAGGCAGAAACGTAGTAATCACATAAAATGGAGACTGGCTCAATTTGAAAAAAAACAGAAATGTTTTGATGAGTTTGGTAATTGAACTCTTAGGCTCCCAAGCAGCTGGTGATGACCAATGGTGGGCACTCCAGGTGGCTTCCTGGTGCCCTCTAGGGCCTGTGCCACAAACCCTCGTGGTAACTAATTTCAGCATATAACTGGGACAGCAAAAAGAATCCACATTAGGGAAGTATGGAATCTAAATTTCATCTTTCTTCCCCTACATGCAAACAAAGCACACATGGTACTTCTTGACAAAACAAAGCTGGTATTTAAAAAAGGATTATTAAGTTACTTTACTTATGTGGGTAATTGGGAAAGGTGGTGGGTAAAATATTTAGCGAAATTATCCTCCTGTTTTTACATAGAACAGTCAAGTGGAGATATATAGTGGGAAGTGTGTCCAGTATATTAACAACATCTCCTGTGTAATACAGTATATAAAAAAATTGTAGAGGATCCTGGAAGCAGAAAAGAATGTGTTCTTACAGCATGAATGATCTCCTAGACATGTGCAGGGACAGGAGAACAGGTGCACTTCTGAATGGGTTTAAACCAGCATTAATCATGTGGATGTTTCACAGAATAGGACAGAGAAATGTGAAGCAAAGGAGAAAAGTTCACAGAAAAGATACGAGGAGCTGTGAGGCTGAGGAATTTTAAAAAGATGTGAGAGGAAATCAGAATGCAGAAAGCACTGACCAAGTGACAGAAGGTGATATGCAGTTCAAGAGTGTTGCATAGCTTAAAGTAAGTGATTAGAGAACAAAATCAAGGGTTTAGCTTTTTAGAAGGAAATGGAAGATTGTGTCAAGAAAGAAACTGCAAGTTTTTTTAAAACTTCACAGAGAGTAAAGATGTTCATATTTTACTTTTGTTCTTCATTCCTGGATAGTGGTCTGATGGTAGCACCATTAGTTGAAGAAAGAAATTCTGCTCCAAAACCAAGTTTAAAATAGGGGATTTTTGTGAGTGTTAAGGAATCTTCTTGCAATTGCTTCAAATGTTTTAGGCAAAGATAGTTTAAAAGAGCACTGCAGACTATATAGACTATTTGAGGGATAGTCTATGTTCCCTTTTACAATTAGATAGTGAAACACAGCTTCTGGGAATTCTAAAA